TATGAACCGACCTGGCCTCGCAGTCATCGCCATCAGCCTCAGCATGACCATCAGCATCAGAATCGTCATTATCATTGCCATCATCGTCAGCATCATCATTGTCATCACCGTAATCGCCATCATCATCGTCATCATCATCAGCAGCAGCACCGTTACCCTCACCATCACCATCATCGTCGCCATCATGTTGTGCATCAGCATCGTGTCCGCTGTCACTGTCGCTATGCTGTCAGTGCTAACAGCATCCCTAAACTAAACCCAATCGGCAACCCAAAGCAGCGGCTTTACCAAGAATGGTATTCAGTAGATCGGGAGCAGTCTCCAGGCCTAATTGTGGAAACGGAACACAAAGTGGAAGACTGGGAGGCACTGTCAGTAAAGCTGTGTAAAGTGCAAGGAGGGTTCGGGAATTCTCAAGTCAGTAAATACAAAGCCCCACTTGACTCCGAGCAGTGGGGTTTCTGGATGAATTTTCAGAACCTGGCTTCTCAGTACACACGCCATTTTCAATGCGTTCTTTGTGACATAAGTGTTTCCGACAGGATCGGAACATGCCAAGCGAGTCCACCATCCAGAGAAGCAACTACGATTTTAGGTACCTTCCTCGCTGGCGCCCTGGGTATGACGAGTGTTCGACAGAGAACTTAGCCTGCGTCTGTAGAGAGAACGCGTTGACCAGGGTTGTTAATGTTGACTGTGACTATACGTTCTCATCTAGCGTTTGGTTTCTGGCGACAGTTAGACGGCTGCCAAGGCCACATTTTGTGATGACTGCTACCACCACATGGCACTACAGTGCTCAGCAAGACTATGACGATGAGTCTTGTGTAAGTTCTCTACCGGTGCTACCTGTTGTCTGGTCGTTCGTAGGTTGTGATTGGATTTGAAGTGTGTTGTGTTTCGGCTAGGCTGTGTACTGAGTGTACCCTGCAGGTGTTGCTTAACGCTTGCATTGCCCGTCATGTTTAAGGCATTCCTTTTATTACGGGGGTGACCGTATTGCACTTCATAACTGTCGTCGACGCATGCATGCCCAGCGCGAGAAGTCCTTTCCGGCTCGGTTAAATGCGCGAAGCATCAAAATCCACATGACTTTTCTGGGTTTATAGGTCCTTCCACCCGAGATTTGTGTGTTCTTGGCTTGGGAGCCCAAGCCTGGTTGCATGTTGATACGGTCCTTGGGTGTATGATTCTTTGTGTTTTCTTCTGGCGAACTTGAAGCTCCCGGTGCATAAGCGTGTGGATATTCAATTCTTGAGGGGGGGCACCTGCTCAGACTCTCGCTTCATTTGGTGGTGGCGCCGGTACAGTGATGAGTCAGAGGTGTGAAAACAAGCGGTAGCCAGAGGAACATTCTTGAGCCGTCGTCAAAGTGCTGGTAGACTGACTAGGTCTGCGGTTGGTTCCAATCGTTCGACCTAGGTTTGTCGAACCGCCCCCATGCCACCACCTGCAGGGTTCCTTTCTTCGTTAGCGCATCGAAGTCGGATTTAGATGGCTCTGGGAATGCCTTGGAGAGCAAGGGCAGGGCTGGCGGTCAAACGACCATGGAGCCTGCTACGAGTAATTGATGCAGGTTTAGCTTTATTGGAGATCCCACACTTTTGACTGCACCAAGGAGTTCTGAGATACAATGAGCCATTAGGCCAAGCGTTCCGTAGGGCTTGGCGATGAGAACATAACCACGGTTACCAGTTCGTAATCCAAGGTAGAAACCGCTGACCTTCGACGGCTTGCGGTTTATGAAAAGTCGGTTCTCGGCCTCGCGGCTCCCAGTGTAAATTCTGGTGCCGCCTGACTACGGCCATCCTCTATCACCCGTATCTGAAAGCTTGGAGTCCTGCATGTATCCGAAACCCAACAGTCGATAAGCAAGGTCAAGAATAGACGAGCTTCACAAGGTTGCTGTCGCAGGTTTGCTTGTACAAGCTGTCGGAACAAAGTTGCAAGCAAGCAAGCAAGCCCTATTCAGCATGTAATTCTTTGCAAAGCAACAATCGCTGTGCAAATTTTCCACCTCACCTCATGGGCCTCCGGCCGTCGGCTTTGTAGCTCGCATCGAACGCTCATCCAGGCAATTTTCAGCCTGCATCCTGCTAACTAGAGACCTCAGCTGGACGGAGGGGTTCGGGATTTAGTTGGGCCTTCTATTCGTCGCAGAAACTAGTGGTAATTAGGATTGGAGCGTCAGTAAGCTCCAGGAGTCAGCTTGCAGTCTTTAGATCCGTGCTTGACGACAAGCAGGCTCCGATGCCGATCCATGGCCTGATACTTTCTGATATCATTTTCAAGAGTTGAGCGTGCAGGATCCGTTTGGAATGGTTACTCTGAAACCGATTCCTCCAGAAGCCCCAAGCTTGCCACATTTCGGGAGGATTGACTGTCGGGGTGCGATCCCACGGGATTTCGCCTGGTTCTACGCTTACAAAGAGACTGAGCTTCACATAGGAAATGTGCGGGTATCAAAGCTTGTTTATCCCATACGTTGTGTTTCAACACTTCTGCAAGACTCCCGCCTTTGGGATCCAACCGCTTGTGCTGTGACCCAGACTCCCTAAAGCTAAGTCAAGAATGCCACAACCATCAACCCTGAGTCATGAAACCCAGGATATGGCTGCTCACTTGGACATAAGGCATTTTAGGTTGATTTAGGGTCTGGCTTGTTGTACCACTTCCTCTTGCAGGGCATCCTATTCGATAGTCCCAGTCCAGCCGGATCCTGGCGAAAGATCCACTCGTTTCTCCAGACGCCAGTTGCCAGACTGGATGTTGCACAGCTTCGCAGACGTTGCAAACATCTAGGATCATGTTCAGGAGCAAGCAGCCACTGCTGAAGTTCTGTAGCCTGCATCAAAGTTCTGCTGCCACACTTGGAACCACAGCATCGCTGGCATCGCTTTGGAAATCACTTGATCCGAAGGCCTAGTCAGTTTCGGCCCGGCCTGTGCACAATTCCGCCTTTCCAGTGGATTGGAGAAGCAGGCCGCGACGACGAGCCGACAACACCCGTGGCCCGAGGCTCCCAGCCCTGCTACTACGGACTTGGGTCCAGAGTTCCTGAGGTAGGACATGGAAGCTTGCTACTTGATGCTAGAAGTACTTGTCAACCCTTGAGTTCCCGATTTCGTCCCGGGCTTGCAGAAATCACATTCTTTTCGGGAGCTGTTGTAAGCACATGAAAAACTGGCAGTTTCTCATCGCCAAGACCCGGACCAGCGAGGAGGTTCTGAGAAAAACCAAGCCCCCGAAGCTCCCATCTAAAAAGATGCTACAGGGCAAGAGCCTCGATGCGTTTTCCAGCTGTCCAAGTGGCAAATGATACGGTTCGACTAGTTCCTGGCGAAGTCCAGTGCATCCTGCATCGTCGACACTTGTTGTTGGGTTGGTGTCCGGAGTGCTTGGTTTGAACGTACTGGTCTCTCAGCCTCATGCGCGCCGGCGCAAACAGTGAAATTCAAGTGGTAAGGAAGGAAGACACTTGCAAAGCCCCGCGAATCCTGCGGATGTACACTTGGACAGCTCCAGCCATCGACAGCGATTTGGCATCCTTTTCCCATATCTGCACCATTCTGCACCAAATCTGTGATGCAAGTTATTATACTGCGCATGTTCCCAGGAATGTTCCCAGGAAGTAATATGCGACAGGGCGCTAAACTCAGCCGTCGATCTGCGCATCAATAACCTGCCCGAGCTTAAAGCAAGATTCACATCAACGAGTATGTTAAGCCCTGATAATGCGTTTGCTCAGCTGCGGACTAGAAATCTTAAACAGTTCGATCATTGCTGCCGCAGCTGTGAACCGACTCGTCGAAGACAGGATGGCATGAAGATGCACACGTTCGGACCAAGATGGTAGCTCTCGATGCGGCCGCGTTTGTTATTGTCAAGGTATCACATAGCGAAGCATCTGTAAGCTCTCGAAGACTGCTGCTTGAGCGAAGTTCTGAGACGAGGCAGAATAAAGAGTGGCGCAGTGAGGGACCTCAAATCGTTGAGCGATTCAGACGATTTTCAAGCTCAAGTCCGACCTTGCTGTCTCACCTGCTCCCCTCGAGGGTCCTTGCAGGAAGCTCTTAAATGCCAAGGGACTGGCAGTACTTTGTGCTGCTGCCCAAGGTAGTTGTGAGCGTGGGGTCGGGGCACAAATACACATTGAGCAAGCTTTGGCTCAGCCATCATTACATGGCAGAACTGCTTGAAACAGGTATCCAATAAGCTGAGAGTAAAGGTCTGTTTAGACTGTTGGAGACAGGCAGCATGGGTTGAAACTGTTGAGACCTGATCCTGTGATCCACACCTGGATTCGGGTTCACTGCTTTATGAGAAAACTCTACCAACATCTGAACTACTCATCCCAAGTTGGGAGCTGTTGTATCATCTGTTTTCGCAGCGCAAGTCTCTCTTTGAGCCTTGCTTGGACCTGTAGGGGAGAGGAACACGACAGTCTGCTCGGATCAGGGCGAAAAAGCCGCGGCCTAGTCGCTTAGGTGCAAGGCCCAAGAACAATCTACAGAGTACTGACCTATGCATCTTCAGTCTGTCTTTAACGCTGCATTTGCCACAGACCTTCTGAAAGGTGACTATATATATCAAGTCATTGCCTGCCCGTCTTGGCAGTCGTAGCTGTTTTCTGTCACGCTCCAAGGCTTTGGATTCGCACTTTCGCATCCAAGCCCAAAACCCAACGGCGCAACCAAAACGAAAGGCACGCTTGAGTACCCTTTAAGCTTAAAGGCCCCGCGTCCCACGTGTTTGCCGTATGGACTTGACTTCTTGCTGCCTACCGTCCATGTAAGCACTCCGGACAAGAACCCCAATGCAACTGCGTCTTCAGGAATCACACTTCCATTTGTTGATGTATTGTTTATTCTGCGCCAGTACCCCACACATGCCCTGAACGAAACAACCACACCTACACTGCAGCTACACCTTAAATCCTAGACCCCGAAGCCATGCAACTGAAACCTCAAGCTGGCAAGCATTGAACATTCCAAATCCAGGACCTGCTTCCGCAACCTGCCTCGGACTACCTTCCTAGTCTACCTGCTTCTCGCAATGCAACCCGGCGGCAAACCAAGCTAACGCGGTGGCGTTGTCGGTTCGGGGATGTTGGACACAGGCCCAAACAGCCTCAGAGTAGAGGGATCCTTTACGACTCAGACTTACCTGATGGTGTTTCGTTGCTGCCAGTTTGCGGCCAGTCTCGACGAAAGCTTTGCAGCTAGAGTGTCCCTGCCGTGTTTGCAAAGGCTGGGAGCATGAGGGCAGCGTCCAAGCGTCATAATTATTGCGCGCACTGCAGTGCTCTTGTGTTAAAAGCCTTCTTCAGCAATCGTGTTGCTCGGTTTAGTCCGCAGTTTCCCGGCGGAAAAACGGCTATGAGAAGGGTCAGAGCAAGTGATATCAAGAGCGCGAGGGCGGATGACTCTCTCCAACAGTTTCTATAGACTCAGCATTGCACGGAAAGCAAAATCCAAAACCCAAGGAGCCTCCCAAGGAGCCGAATGTTTGTTAACAGAGGCCCGAAGTAACATAGCAACACGCACGTTGCCAACATCGGCCCTTGGTGCATCGATCCATCTATCTCCGGACAGGGCAACGGGCTAGTCATTCCCACAGCATTGACGGTTTACTTGGGTGTGTTTTGATTTTGTGTCAATCCGGCGTGTGGGATGTCGCGGACTGGTTTGGTGTTGTGCCGTACATTGTCCAAAGTCTGGCTCATGTATATAGCCACATTGACCAGAGTAAGTGCCGCCATTGTCGTAGTGAATGCAAGTAAGGCAGCCGACGCAGCCGCAGTAGCAATAGTCGGCATCGGCATAGAAGCGGTGGCAGTGGTGGTTGTGATGGTAGTAGCAGTAGTAGTAGTAGCAGCAGCAGCAGCAGCAGTAGCAGTACCAGCACTAGCAGTACTAGCATTGGAAGCAGTGGCGGTGGTGGTAGTAGTAGTAGCAGCAGCAGCAGTCGTACTAGTTGTAGTAGCAGTTGTAGCAGCAGCAGCAGCAGTAGGAGTAGGAGTAGGAGTAGGAGTAGTAGTAGTAGTAGTAGTAGTAGTAGTAGTAGTAGTTGTTGTTGTTGTTGTTGTTGTTGTGGTGGTGGTAGTGGTAGTGGCGGTAGTAGTAGTAGTAGTAGCAGTAGTAGTAGTAGCAGAAGAAGTAGTAGTAGTAGTAGTAGTAGTAGTAGTAGTACTGGTATTAGCAGCAGTAGTAGTAGTAGTAGTAGTAGTAGTAGTAGTAGCAGTACTAGTAGTACTAGTAGTACGAACAGTCGTAGTACTACTAGTAGTACTACAAGTACTAGTACGGGTACTGATACATGTGCTAGCAGTTATACTAGTAATAGTTGTGGTAGTTGAGGCAGCAGCAGCAGGATCAGCAGTAGAGGTAGTGGTACTAGCAGCGGCAGTAGCAGTAGCATCAGTACCAGCAGCATCAGGAGCAGGAGCAGTAGCAGTAGCAGTGCAGTAGTAGTAGTCGTCGTCGTCGTCGTGCTGCTGGTATGGTAGTCGTCGTCGTCGCACTCGCACTCGTACTTCTACTACTATGGATGGAAGACATCTTGCACGGCTTTTCACATGCGTCAACTAGCTTCACCCCACGCCCCCATTCTTAACATCGCTATCAATACCGGGGCTTTGCGAAATCGCTGTGATGACAAAATCTTGCACCGCCTCATTCAGATCCGTCTTCAATGTAGAACAGGGGCTGCGGAATCGTTGGGGGGAGCGCACCCGAATCAGAATGTATAGGTCGGACAAAATGCAAGTAGAAGTACTACCACATGTACTACTAGTATGTACTAGTAATATTACTGTCCCGGTACTACTAGTATGTACCAGTACTGGCACTAGGTTGGGCATTGTTCTTTTCGTTGTTGACGTTACCACCGTTCTTGTTGTTATTCGTTGTTGCTGCTGCTGGCCTTGTTAGTAGAGTTGCTGCTGTCGTGGTTGTGGTGCTGGTGCTAGTGCTAATAGTAGCAATCATTAAACTTTGCATAGGGCCTAAATACCCAGGCCACGAATCTAAGCTCGGAACAAGCCTGGCTACTTGAGCCTTGCCACAGCAGCACTGCCTGACCCGGTTCCGTCAGGTGTACATGTACCTGACCTTCGACACGAATCACTCCGGTCGCGCATTTTGTGGGATCTTCGCCCCAACCCTGTCCGAGGCGCCAGGGAGCGGGGAAATGCGTTTGGATCTCCCAGTCGGTAGAGTCGTTTGGCGCTCTACCCATCTACCCAGCGTCAGCTCGTCCACACACGAGAGTTCCCTCAGCAGAAGTAGGCGTAGCTTCCTTTGAGCAAATCTTGTAGCGACGGTGTGGGATGGAGCCAATGCCTCGGCAGAGACTTTCGAGAAATGCTCAATGTAATGTAGGGGCCCTTCAAACCAACCAGGCGACGCTGAAGAGTATGTGCCAAACTTCGCCTGCGGGTCAGTCCTAGTGTTTTCTGTGGAGAGCGTCAGACATTCCAACTTCCAACGCTAGCAGCATCATTGTGGTGGTTGTTGTCAGCGGCGTACTAGTACCAGTGAAATCAGTAAAGTTGTAGCAGCAGTAGTTAGGAGTGTGAGTAAGGGTAGTGGAAATAGCCGCTACATATTGGATTGCTTGCCCGTGTCTGCCGCACCGTAGTCAAGCGATGTCGGTCGATGTTCTGTCATCTCGTCGCCTCTCGAATTGGAAGTCCGACGCGCAAGCATGAGATCTCTGTCATTGAGTGTTCTAGGGATTTTCTTGCCTGCCTGTGCTACTCGGAGTTTAGACAAGTGGAAGGGGTGGGACTTTGACGGAGAGCTTCTCAAGTGGCCGTTGCGCCAGTCCCAGCTTACACGGCCCAGGCTTACGAACAGCATCGAGCAGCTATAATTCAGCTATACAGCTTCGGTGATCTATGGGAACTCGAAGCATGGCGAAGCATTTCACTTGCCAGGCCTGGGTTTGCTTCAGCGGGACCGCCATCAAAGACTCCAATCCGAAGCGCCAGGAATGAGGGTCCCGGGCGGCCTTGGCGATGCAAGTGATAAAGTTGCTAGCCCGCTCCCCGCTACTGGAATTACAACGAATCCACCATGGCCGCTCCCTCTTGGCCCTACACTGAGTCCCAGGGTCTTTGTGAGCATTTCCTCATAAGCCTTTGCTCCGAAGCCCTTTTAAACTGGAGCATATGCCAGAAACAAAGCTCTACCAAGATGTCCACGTCTAGTGCAAGTCGAGGCTTAAACCTCAAGCCGCTAGTCAGGAGAAACCGATCCCAAACAATCTGCTCAAGTCAAGTGCAGCTTGTTGTTCTTGGACTACTGCGTCTCAGCAGTCTTCCCATCATCAGCAGACAAGGAGATCGAGTCCTTCGTGACAGAGCTTATTTCAGATGCTGCGCACTCAGGGCATCCAACTGTGGATGTCAGAGTTAGCAGATCTTCATCTGTTTTCTGCAGAGCATCCCGGTTGCAGCACCTATCGCCTTGATCCACAAGGTCGTGTTTGTCCATGTCTCTGTTTTGGATGTCCGACGGTGGAATTGGGCCAGTGATACATGCCAGGCATTGCACTCAACATGTGCTTAGATTGGCAATCGAGCACATGTTTAGCATCGCACACAGACCTGGATGCACTGTCAATGTTGCAGCCCGGATGTTGAATCTTCGAACTTTAGGAAGCATTGTGCCTCCGTGGCTGTTGCAAAACGTATGGAGTGCGAGCAAAGCGGAACAGAGTTGATGAAGGAGTAGTCACAAGTCGCCACTCGGTACAGAAGTGCACCCTTGTAAGATCGGAAGTGTTTTGTCGCTAGCAGGCTTTGAAGCACTCCTTGATGAGATCCTTTGTCCCGGGGACCGCAGAAGAACTTCAGGACAGGACCTCTCCATGCCTTTGTGCAACTGTTTCTTCCCGTCTAGGTCAGCCTGGATGGCTCCAGTGGTTTCGCGCGCACAGAGGCAGGAGCTCGCGATCGTAGAATTGGCTTGCTCTCTTTGTGGGAGCTTGCCAGCCGTCGTCGGTGTCACGCAACCGTATACAATACCGGTACATGATTTCATTGCAGCAGTTGTCGAACGTCGGTGAGACAACATGTGCATTGGATGGAGTGTGTGGTATTACAACATGCTTGACGTGGTCTGCTCTAGTCACTAGTCTCTGGTTAGGGAGTATGTTGAGTTTCGGTTGTGCCATGGAGCCATACAGCACGGCTGTGCTGTGTCTTTTGACAGATAGCCGTAGGAGCATATGCAGATACAGTCTTATTCATCATCTGCCTGTAGTACAACAGCTGCAACAAAAACAGCTACAGTGCCTAATGGCCAGAGGGCAAATCCTTTAAGCCTTTGGCTATGCTTATACATATTGTCTTCTGTTGTGGTACCAAATGTTTCCAAAGCAACCACAAGTAGTGCATGCTGTTGGAGTAGACACAACTGAAAGAAAACCCATCGTTTACAAATATGGAATCCACCAGGATCTATATAGGCAGACATCAGCAGATCTGCACGTAAAACCACGACATAACTATGAAGCCTATATATGTTTTCAACCTAGGACAAGCGCGTAAAAAGGCCTCGAAGTATCTATGTATTCTGTATCTGCCTGTTTACCTGTACATGCGAACTTTTCGTATCATACATATGGCCGTTTTGCAATGTATTCATTCTGCACGGCCAAAACTAGTGGAAGCCGTCGCATATATACACATCAATGGTCAAATAACTTGTAATTTGTAATGTATGCAGACTCATCGCTGTCATAAGAGCATGCATAAAACGCAGTATTGCATGTAATCATAAACATGTTGACATAACTAAAGTTTATCTATACTGGTTTGTGAGCTTTTGCAGAATGTCTAGATATGACTCTGTATGTATGTCTTTATATGCCTGTCTAAATATGCGAATATCGACAGTATTGCACACGTGTACATTTGTGTGTAAGCACCTCTAAGAACAACCAAATGCATATGGACACATCTTTGGCTAAACGGGTACATACATGACTCTAAAGCCCGACACACACACACACACACACACACGCTGCGCATATATTACGAATCCTTGCAAATATCGTACATGCGGGAAATAGTGATAACATGTATATACACTGTTTCTGTAATATACATTTTGTCTACGGCAACACTAGTGGAATCCGCCGGTGTATACACACAAGAGCTCCCCATGTCTACATGGCATAGAAGCGTACGTAAGTCTTGCATGCAACCATATTCAATGTCTGCTGCATATGCCTGCCTATTCAATACTGTACACATGCACATATGTGCAAGCACCTAAAAGTACAATCGATACATGTGGACACATCTATGACTAAATGGGTACATGCACGAAGAAGCCAGATCTGTAGACATGCTGCATCATACTCATTATGAACGCATATAGACATGGATACATGTGCCATACACAGATACGTAGATAAGAACAGCCGGAAGGGATCAAAACCTATATTGGCATGGAACTAGCAAAGCAGAAGCGACTTCCATGCAGTGAGTTGCTCCAACTTGGAGATTTCAGCGAGTAACAAAATAAGCATACATGGCAATACTGAGTCGCAGAATCGCACCAGACAGGAACAGCACATGATATCCGGATTCACTGGGTGGGAGCAAGGCAGCGCAGCAAGCCAGCAGCACGTACACATACGCACATAGATATATGAAGATGCAAGTACATACATGCACATGTACATAGACATAACATATATACATATACATATGTATGCGTGCATATATATATATATATACATACATATATACATATATACATATATATATAACTGATATATATATATATATATATACATATATATATATATATTACCCGGGCAGGCAGGCAGGCAGGCCTGCGTAAATACATACATGCATGCATACATGCCCACAAACAAACAAATAAGTAAACATACACACACACACACACACATATATGTAAACATGCCGCCATACATGCATACACACGTGGTTTTTTGTGCAATGATTAAACAGTGTCTTTCGGCGTTCCAGCATTGGTCAAGGAGTGCGTGCAGGGTTTGGTGGGTTCGCACAGCAAGTCATGCAGACTGTGAGCTTGCGGCTCGCACATGTAAGTGATCGGATCAGCCCTAGATTCGTTTGTACATTGGTGCCTGAGCCTTGTCGCTTTGTAGTCACCTACACGACGTGTGGTGAGGAGTGCCAGTGGGTGGCGGGCTTGTTGCGGTAGGGTGCGGGGAGCTTCGCAAGTTTCGGCAGGTTTCCTTCCTGAACGGAAAGAGCCTCAGCAACCTGGTGCTTTGGGTGGAACAGCGCTTGAAGGACAGTGTTGCCGGATCCAAACAACTTGCGATTAGTTTCAGTTTTCCGATGCAGAATAAAGTCGGCAATTGCTCTCCAAACGTCTCTGTTTGTCGACTGCATCCCCTATCCCCTGTTGATCACTTTGCATAATGTTGCAGGAGATTCGCAAGCTCGATGGAGGCGTGGCTGCTTTTGCATGTAGGCCAACAGTCACGGAAGCCATTCCAAAGCTTCCCAGGTGACGTTCTGGGAGTTTAGGATGAGACGTTGGGTTTCACGTTGCTCCTGCGCCGGACTGGTAGCAGGAAAAGCATCACGCACGAGGATTGTCTAGGCCGTCCTATCGTCGTCTTCTCTGGGGCTCGGCCGCACGGAAAGTGCTTGGCAAGACCACACGTGACCGAAAACTGGCTGCACCAGGAACAGTCGCCGAAGTCCGTTCGTCGCGCCGCTGCGTCGGGCAACGTAGTTGAGGTTTTAATGCACTGTAGCTGGACGCTGGGCCCTTGCCTGTTCTGCCGAACTTCAGTTCCGAAACAGCGAACTTTAAACCTCTTTGAGCCCACGAAAAAGACCTCTTTCACCCCATCCTCCACATGCTTACCAGGTGTGGAAAGGCTAGTTCACCGTCGCTGAAAACCCCAAATCGCCCGCTGTCCCCAAACCATCATAGACGACAGGTGTGCTATGCAACATCTTGTATAGCCTTAAATCCTCAACTCTGACTTTGCAAACACTCTAGCCCGAGCCGATTGAGACCGGAAATGAAGATGCCGCAAGCTGTCGACTGCAACCCTAGAGTCCCAAAGCCAAGCCCGAAACTGAGAGGAGTACACCGGCCTGACATGTCAATTCTTCCAGTTGTGCTTTCAGGTTCCTCGTCGAAACCCACTGCTGCGAAAGACCAATTTGCTGGGTTCCTGTAAAGTATCAAGTTTTATCAAGTTTCTCTGGTTCCAACTGCTACTTGCCCACGACAAGCGTATGGGTGCACATGAATCAGGGTCAGCAGTTTTTCCTCGCTAAGCAATGTGTCCGAGGGATTGGCCGCTTAGCACCCTGTTGCCGTGCAGGCTGCATTTTCGTGGTTTCTTCACAGCTCAGTGCTGCGGAGCTCAGAGGGTGCGGCCCTCGGGGCACTAATGGATTCTCAGGTCATCTCAGGTCATAGCAGCATATCAACGGTTTGCCTTACTTCTTTTTGCAGGCCGGCAGCGAATCGAAAATGATTCCAGGGGGATAGATGTTGCGTTTATTCTTTCATAAACATGCGGGACCGTTGCAATGTCTGTAGGTCTCAGAGGTGTTGACAGGACCTGCAACACTGCTTGTAATTACTGCTATGTCCTCATCAGCCTGCAAAACCGAATGTCCGAGCCTGGAAACACGATGCAGACGCTGTGTTGATGGTTAGTGTGCCCATACGTGATTTGGGGAAAGACTTGTTTCGCCTCAGCTGATGCTCGCCCTGAAGCATTTTAAGGCTTAAACCTTCACGAAAAACGCAGCCTCGTCTGACAGAGGTTGGCCCCTAGCTGCTATGTGGATCAGAGAGCTCTTCGGCTGCGGACCCAGACAGTTTCTGTCAGCACTTTGAATTGACATAAACCTCTGCTTCTCTGGTGAAGACGTGCCACGGGGCAACGCATCCTTCGCGGCGTCAATGAATGAAGGTTCAGACCAGACGTGTCGAGGGTCTCAGTAGTAGCGGTTAAGACTACGACCCTGCAGAGTTGTGAGGGCCTCTTGATTTGCACATGTTATGCCCCGGTGCTGGCAACACTTGCATTTCACCGGTTGCGTCGCGTTTACCCGACAACACCCTCAAGCTTGAAGGCGCCTCCGCGGCAACACCCGGCTCATATTCCTGTTTAGAGCCTGCGGCTTTCTAGCATGTCAAACACAAGTCGAGGCTATGTCGGCAGAACGACGGACTGCTCCGGTTTCGGGTGAAGCATACATGGTGCCACAGTTGGCATTGTGTTGAAGACAGCCAAGTAGCTACTGCACTCTTGAACCCCAGCCCACAGACGAGTTTGTTCTCACAGTAAGCGTTGTCTGGTGTCTTCCGAAAACCCCCAGAAAACGGCCTGGAATGCTCTATGAAGGCACGTGGAAACTCTGCGAGAGACGCCCATCTTGCATGCTCCGCACACCAAGGCCCAGTTCTTCGTTCGGGCTTAGGGCAGGGGTTCAGAGCTCGAGTTCTGCGTTGCAGGATGTGAAGGGACCTCCTGTTCCAAGAATTATGATGCTGGCACTGTGGAAATACAGCCGGGCAGCTCTTTCATCGGCTGAGTTTGCACAGTCTAGTGGTGTTGTTGATCAAGCCAGCGATGATGATGAGCATAGTCACGGACGATAAGTTGTTATCATTAAAGTAGTGGGTTGTTGATGACGGCTGCCATGACAACTATGATGATGCTGGCATGCGTAGTTGCTACCTAGAGCGTCGGCATCACAAGCCTTCCCAGGTCTGCAATACCGAAATTGATTTCAATTTCGCCTCCAAATTGACTTGGCAATCTGCTATTTCGGCGGTTATGCTGTCCATGTTTTTTGTATGTTGTTCCATGTTCTTTCGGCTAGGCTTTCCCACGGGTGTGGGTGCACCGGTAGATTTCCCGGAGCGCGGCTTCCGCTGTTGGGCATGTCCGTTATTTTCTCAGCAACATGTAAACAGCAAGTAGTAACAGTAAATTAGGACAGTAAAATAGTAAATGGTGTTGTAGTCGTCGCCGCGGTCGTCGTCGCCGCCCCCGCAGTAGTAGTAGTAGTAGTAGTAGTAGTAGTAGTAGTAGTAGTAGTAGTAGTAGTAGTAGTAGTAATAGTAGTAGTAGTAGTAGCAGCAGCAGCAGCAGTAGCAGTAGTAGCACAAGGGAGCTCGCCCGCTCGCTAGCTAGCTTGCTGCCTAGCTGGTTGGCCTGCCTGCCTGCCGACCTGCTTGCCAGCAAGAAATGGTAACACCTTGTCGCTTGCATGTGCCGTTCAGTGTCAAGCCCACATTATCCCGACAAGCAGTGGGACCTGTAAGGTTGTCCAGGCGTGAGGCCGATCAAATTGAAATCTGCTGATCTCCGCTGAGGGTAAATTCATTCTGGACTGGCCCCGCACTATCAGCAAATTCTTCGCGAAGGTGCGAGCCACCACTTGCTTGGGTTTCAGGCATTGGTTGACATGTCTCCGCAGCTCCAGTAGGGAAGGTTCTTGCCAGGCATACAGCGGGCAGCACCAGCACGGAACCTGGTTCGGAATTGATGAAGGGTCCATCCCTTTCTTTAGCTGATAGAGGTTTCAATGTTGTTTTGCATAGAGCCTCAATGTACAACCCAGCAGGTCGCATCGCTAGATAAACGCTGGATGAAAATAGGTTGGTCTGACTGTCTAGCTCCGCATCTTCAGCTCACACAACCGGCACAGTGAGGCCAAGGACGCTGTTCTCGCATGGCTTCAAACTGAAGTCAAGAACAACTCAGGAACCCCTGCCGGAAAAGACAAACGGCTTCTAGAGCAGTACAGGGTTGCCCCGAAGCCTAACACACGATTTACACGCGCGTCCGGTCTGCTTCTCTGCCGCGTAGATGTTAGAAGGTGACTGGAAGCGATAGGAGATACGACCCACATTGCCGGAAAGACTGTCTATCGAGCCAGCCTGCAGTTCACAAGGTTGTCCACTCTGACAGTCCCCGAGAACGAGCAGACAGAATGCCTTGCAAATGCATCCGCGCAGCCAGGTGGCTAGTCAAGCGGTACATGTCTTAGCAACTAATGTACCGAGATTGTGAGCCAGACAGTGTGACAAGCAGTGATCGAGTTTGCACCGCTGGCAGAGCCATGGCGTCTCAAGGTGTTCCAGCCTCGCAACACTCTTGCTGGCCTGCCCGGTTTGGGTCATGAAAATGTCCAGAGCGACGTCCGAACCTTTGAACTCAAAACCCAGAGCTAAGACAAGGCCTCAAGGCTTGAACAAAAAGACCTGGCTTCTCTCTTCAGACTTCTTGCCCTCTGGCACAGCTCACATCGATCAACAAGCTATCCTACCTGTTTGAGCTCTCTGTTCTGGTGCGTTTGCATTCTATGTACGATGCGAACGTGCTATGTGCTGCCTCAGCACATTGTGGCAGCGACGATTACGCCTCCAAGCATCGCCAAGCCCAAGTGATCCGTACTGACCTTGAACATTCCACATTTACGCCCAACACGCAATCCTCAAATCCCCACACCCGCGACACTAAACTCGACAGCCAGATCGCTCACCGCCGGTCCTCCGCGGTGCTGCGGCAGCTTTGGCCTCCGCCCTTGCGGGGGGCGGTGGTGTTGGGCCGCTAGAGGCACTCCTTCATCTTCGGTCGTTGTTTTGACACGGTTTCACTTCGTGTAGATCATGCCGGTCACGACGACAGTGACACTACTGCAGGGAGATAACACGAATGATGGTCTTTGTGAGGTTGATGATGCCGATGTTTTTGTTTTCTACCGGCAGTTATGAGAATGACAGCGACGACTAAACTCTTGAAGGCGATGTTACCAATACAAAACGACTACGATACTTATCATTCTGATAGTTGTGACGTTGTTGGTGATGCTGAGAGTATGGGTTGTGGCGACAATTATGAACACCATGTAATTGATTATGCCATTCAGGGATGATACTTATCCCATGGTGGTCTTGGTAATGAACATCGTAGCCCATTAATGGTTCTGATGCTGGTGGTGGTGGAGTGGAGGCCGGGGTTGGTGGGAGTGACAGAATAGCGGTCGTAGTGGTAGCTACGACAGTGGCAGCGGCAGTAGGAGTAGGTAGTATGGGAGTGGGACAGTAGAAGCAGTAGGAGTAGGAGTAGGAGTAGGAGTAGCAGTAGTAGTAGTAATAATAATAACAATTTCTAATCATAATCGTAGTAGCAGTATTTGTTGTTGTGGTCGTAGTAGCATTAAAAGGAGAAGTAGGTGCTGTTAGGACTAGTACTCGTACCAGTACTAGTAGAGTAGTTGTTAGCGACGCTGTTGCTGTTGCTGCCTGCTGTTGCTGGTGGTGTTGTTGGTGTGGCAGTGGTGGTGGTGGCGGTGGCGGTGGCGGTGGCGGTGGCGGTGGCGGTGGCGGTGGCGGTGGCGGTGGCGGTGGCGGTGGCGGTGGAGGTGGTGGTGGTGGTGGTGGTGGTGGTGGTGGTGGTGGTGGTGGTGGTGGTGGTGGTGGTGGTGGTGGTGGCGGTGGCGGTGGCGGTGGCGGTGGCGGTGGCGGTGGCGGCGGCGGCGGTGGTGGTGGTGTGGCATTGGTGGTCTTGGTGGTGGTGGTTTGGAATCATCAGTGTAGTCATAAAACATAGCAAGCAAGTAAGTAGCATGTCATTGCAGTTGGGCAGCAGCTAGTACTTCGTAGCTGCTGGTCAAGACCTCGGCTGGCTGACGGAAGCAGCAGCAGCAGCAGCAGCAGCAGCAGCCGCCCTAGTAGTTGCGAAAGCTGCCGCTGGCGCTACTGCCGACGTTGACGATGCTGGTGGTGTAGATGGTAATGACTGCAAATTCATGGTGACGAGTGCAGCAGAACTTCAAGGTGCTGAGGGCTCCGTGTGGGCAGAATCCAAAAACTCTGGCAGCGACATTGCGAGATGCATCGGAAATCAGGCAGGGCACGGATATGCCCCGGCAGGTGACCAAGCCACTCCTTCAGCTGAAGGACAGGGCCCAGAGTCTTCCAGCTGTTCCTTCAAAGGCAGCAACTGGCACTTAGTTCTTCCAAGCTGTGACGGATGTCTTAAGAAGCCTGCCCCGGTGCAACAATTACTAAACAACTTGTTGTTCAAGGGCTTCGGTCCTCCAGTATACCACTGCAAAGTTTCTTCACAACACTAGTGGTGTCACTGTTACTAGCACCAGTGGTTCCTTACTGATCCAACTGTTGGTGGTGTTTTTGCAGACAGCTTCTGCCTAGACGGCTGTGGAAAGCCACGACTGTGACCATCGGTGTCGCAGTCGACCTTGCAACCATCGCTGGTAGTACACTGTAGCAGTTGGGGTTTCAGTAGTGGTGGCGGTGGTGGTAGGAGCAATAGCGGCAAGGGCAGCGGCAATGGCAAGGCTAGCGGTGGTACTAGGGATAGTCGTAGTGGTAGCAATAGCGGAAACGGTCGTGGTGGTTGTCGCGGTGCTGGTGTAGTAGTAGTTGTAGCTGTAGTAGCAGTAGTAGTAGTAGTAGTAGTAGTAGTAGTAGTAGTAGCAGTAGCAGTAGCAGTAGCAGTAGCAGCAGCAGGAGCAGGAACAGGAACAGGAGCAGGAGCAGTAGCAGTAGCAGTAGCAGTAGCAGTAGCAGTAGCAGTAGCAGTAGCAGTAGCAGTAGCAGTAGCAGTAGCAGTAGCAGTAGCAGTAGTAGTAGTAGTAGTAGTAGTAGTAGTAGTAGTAGTAGTAGGAGGCAGTAGCAGTAGCAGTAGCAGTGGCAGTGGCAGTAGTAGCAGCAGTAGCAGTAGCAGTAGCAATAGCAGTAGCAGTAGCAGCAGTAGTAGTAGCAGTAGCAGTAGCAGCAAAAGCAGCAGTAGTAGTAGGAGTAGTCGTAGTTCTAGTAGTAGTAGTAGTAGTAGTAGTAGTAGTAGTAGTAGTAGTAGTAGTAGTAGTAGTAGTAGTAGTAGTAGTAGTAGTCGTATAGTAGTAGTAGTAGCAGCAGTAGTAGTAGTAGTAGTTAGTTAGTTAGCAGCAGTAGCAGTAGCAGTATAGCAGTAGTAGTAGGAGTAGTAGTAGTAGTAGTAGTAGTCGTAGTCGTAGTGTAGTCGTAGTCGTAGTGGTAGTGGTAGTGGTAGTAGTAGTAGTAGTAGCAGCAGCAGCAGAGGAGTAGTAGCAGTAGTAGCAGGAGTAGTAGTAGTAGTAGTAGTAGTAGTAGTAGTAGTAGTAGTAGTAGTAGTAGCAGTAGCAGTAGCAGTAGCAGTAGCAGTAGCAGTAGCAGTAGCAGTAGCAGTAGCAGTAGCAGTTGCAGCAGCAGCAGCAACAGCAGGAGCAGGAGCAGGAGTACGATCAGGAGGAGCAGGAGCAGCAGCAGCAGAAGCAGGAGCACGAGGACGAGGATAGCGGTAGCAGTAGCAGTAGCAGTAGTATTGTTGTTGTTGTCGCAGGAGGGGGAGGAGGAGGAGGAGGAGGAGGAGGAGGAGGAGGAGCAGCAGCAACGGCCCAAATAGTAATAGTGGCAGTCGTCGTCGTCGTCCCGGTGGAGTAGAGTGGTGGTAGTGGTGGTGCTGGCGAGAAGGTGGTGGTGGTAGGAGCTGGAGGTGGAGGTGGGGGTGGAGGCGGAGAGGAGGGAGGGGGAAGGAGTAGCAGAAACAGTGCTGCCACACCGTTCAGGGAGGTAAATTAGCTAAACAGCCTGGCGATGTCAATACTGCTATATGGCTGCAAGGGTACTGAGGCTGGCAATATCCTGTGACTGCACTGCAGGATGTGCTGCTTGCCGAGAACGCAGATTCGTCTGATGACGCGGCAAAGCGCGCAGTCAGCCTGCGCCAGGGCCTCAGAGATTTCTACGACATTTCCCATGTATTCCCACAGTGAGGACTCCAGTCAGGACTACTGGATGCATGCTTTGCTGAAGTTCGCACGGTTGCGAGTTGGAACTGTCGACTTGGAGTGCTTTGCCACTTCGAGCAGCCACAAGCCGCAAGTCTTCAGAGTGGAGAGCGTTCATCGAAGGCTGATTCCAGTGCTTTGAGCTTCTACAATGCGAACTCGCCCAAATTCTGAGCCGTCATCTAGCAACAGGCACCGGCTTCTCCAACGCCTTGCGAAACGAGCTCTTGGAAAGGCTGCCAAATCTGCAGCTGCATGACGAGCTTCCGGCTTGAAAGCAGAATGCTCAGGGTGCAACATGGAAGTCCGTAGAGATGGTAGATCCCTCATAAGGCCACCGTACAATCCGGTGAATGTCTTTGACGAACCTACGACCGGAAGTCTTGCTGGACTAGCATCGACAGGGCCTCGTACCTCGGTCTGTTGGTCTCTACACCTGAGCCGCTGAATCGCAGAAGCTGACGACGTGCAGGCCATTTGGCAAGAAGCTCCTCGATGGCGCCTCGCGTGCGCCGAAGGCAAGCTTGTTGTCCTCAGTTCGACTACGCCGCGTGAGCTTTTGATAAGTCGGCAAGCTGCAAGTTTAGA